AWKKKGRRGGGGAAAAAAATCACATTCTTMAGCYTTGTCACTGTTTCTCAGCTGGAAAAATATTGGAAAGCAGAAAAATGTTTCTCTTTTCATTCATCCTTAATTTGGAGAGTGGTTCCATAGGAAAGCCATTGTCTCCCAGGAAAGACATTCAACTGAGAAAAATCAAGAGTWTTTAAGCACTCTGTAATCACATGCCTCATTATCATTTCTACCCACTGGCTGATAAACACAGCATTTGTCAGACTGGATATTCACACCTCAAGATAATGTGTTATTACAAAGGATGTGGCCCAGCAGATCATTCTGAGCATTATAATTTGCCATTCTTTTTAAAAAGATTTTTAAATGTGCATTCACACACAAACACAATCTGATCAATTTTTTCTTAGAACCCTGCTCATTTAGGAAACATWTCAAACATTTTTGAGAGCAGGATAATGAGCACATACAACAACAGCAAATTTACAACTTAAATCATTACTCAGTGACTTTTCCAGCTCAAATTGCCATCTCTAATTATTCTTAKTTTACAGTTTTTAACACTTTGAACAGTTTTTGGATGTCATAATCAATCAAAAGTGTCACATTGCATGAAAATTTGACTTCTTTAAGTTGGTGACTTTGCTCCTGTGAACCAGCTTTTCCTGATCACCCTTTCCACCTCCACTGCAATTCTAATCAAACAAGTCCTAGTCAGTCAAGTGATCCCAATGCACCCTTTTGCCYATACCACCATTTGCAAACCATTGCACAAGGTGCTGTGCTTTCCCCCTTACTCTACCAGAGGCTATTGCTTAAAAGATCCAGTTCCTGTAAAAACAATCACAGGTCAACACTGAGAGACTGATGGAAAGACCCATTTCAGTCATGTGTTTTTTGGCAAGGAACCACAGTGAGTGCATAATCTGTATAAATGTTAGCTTTCTAAATAAACAGAACCTCTGGTTGCATGAAGGCAGAGAATAAAGTTGAAACTTGTTTCTTTCATTAAGCAACCTTTCAAAACCAGGGCTTGTTTTGTTCTAGACACCCATCAATCCTGACAGATGATAATAAACAAACAGCAACAATGGCAACAGAGCCGACAGAGCTGCCCTGCACACTTTACTTCATTCCTTTCCTCAAACATGAAGTATTTTGTTCACTATCCAGCATAGAGGTGTTGGAATGGGAATGGGAAAATCTTTGGGGCTCATATCAGTGTTCATGTACTGTGGTGGGTGTCAGCAGAGCTGTGCCATCAAACAATCCAGTGGGCAAAGCTTGGATTCCATCCACAATCCTTGGGGGATGCTGATGTAAACTTCCYTCTCTGGATCTGTGAGGGTTATATGGGAAAAATCAGCTGCTGGCAGTAGTCATCCCTCAATAYTCTGTTCAGACTTGGCCCATTTCCAAGCTGCAATACTCTAAGCAAGAATTCTTTTCYTTGGTATTGCTATTGCAAATTCACCATGGTGTCACTCATACATATAAGAATCTGGGTTTGTTTTTTTTTTTTAGTCTAAAAAGGACAGCAGCAGTGATCTGTTTATGTGCTTAAAACAGTTTGTCAAGTAAAGAGGAAAAAAATAAAATGGATCCATCTCAAGCAACTATATAAAAACAAAGTCTCCAAATATTTCAAAGTATTTTTGAAATAGGGAAAAGTATGTTTTCTGTATATTATGTTATAAATGCCTTAAACATCCATCTTTCCCTGGCCATCTGTTCAGGAAGGCAAAGCTGTGCAGATGAAAAGACAGTGATGTAGACAATAGTTGTCAATGCTAAAATGCTGCTTATTTGTGGGCTCTGTTCCACCTTCTCCCACTGTTTTCTGATGCTCATAGGTGACCTTGCACCAAGCMGGCCAACACTTATTGGAGAAAGTTTTGCATTTTACTTTCTGAAATTTAAATAAGCATTAATTAAATCCTTTCTTAGTACAACATGTAAAATGCTGCCTTTCTGGGAAAACCAGAACGTGGAAAACAAGCCCATMTTATAGCTGACAATGCACACCTCACATCACAGATAACGCAGGGCTTGCAGAAGATGTGATTTCTGTGTACTGACAATACAGACMTGCTGTTTCTGGGGGAGGAGGAATTTTGGTTTTAATGTAGGTGGAGTTTAAGTCACTCAGYAGTTTGTCTGAGGCAAAGGTACAATACATGGCTTTTTTTTTTTTTTTAAAAAAGCACTAAGGTGATTAACTGCTTGTCACACAATGCTAAAATAACACTTGGTTACACAGGTCATTTTAAAATGAACTTTTTCTTTGACTGGTCTGCATAGTGGCAGGACCATGAATCTTAGCTCAAGAGTGTATATTCATTTTATTCTCGGTGAGTGAAGGCATCAGATAAATAAAACCAAACCCAAACCAAACCAAAAAACCCCACTTTGTTCACTCAAAGCCCCTTGCAAGTGGCTACAGAGARTTTCCCAGCACTTCAGCATGATTGACATGCAGGAGTCATGTTCTGGCACAAATATATCCTGATGAAGTTATCCCTTCAGTGGTCACAGAAGGTCATCTTTTATGTCTTTGCCCTTTTGTAAATAAGGTCTTAGGTAGTTCCCCTCCCACTTTCATGTCTACACATGATTTCATAGTTTATGAACCATTTGGTGGCTTTCTTTGCATTGTGGCTTTCTTTTTGTTGACTGCCACCTCAGCTTTGCCAAAGTGTGTCTTGATTTGCAACTGTGAAAGGAGGTCTTGGGCTGGGGCAGAGTGTGAGCCGTCATCTCTCCTTGTCACACCCAAGACTTGCAGAAAGAAARGGATCAGGATTAGCAGATTCAGCCTGTTGCTCTGCTCCCATTCAGAGCTCAGAGACAGCAAATTTGTGGCATGCACTGATCACTGGTTTTAGCACGACCAAGCCCAAAATCCCCTCAATGCTGCCTGCAAAAGCAGCACTTGGAAGAGCTTGTCTCTGTCTCACCCAGCAAAGAGAACAGGAGAGCTGCACAATCCTCCCTTGCCTGTGAAACAGGAGTTTTGTCTTCTTCCWCAGGCACATAAATGCAACACAGGGCTCCTACAAAGTGCCTTAAGCCTGCTAAGAAAAGYAGAACAAAGCACAGTGAACTACACCTTTGCTGAACAGATATAACAACAGAGCATTTTTTAGCTCAACTCTGTGTCATTCATTTGGCAAACAAAGCCTTCATAAATTACACAAAATCAGA